CTGCAGGGGGCACGGGGTTGGGGGGCACGGCCAGCAGATCCCTGTGGTCTGGGGGTGCCCTGGTTCCCGTGCCCAGTGCCCAGTGCTGGACAGAACCAGCCTGGACTGGTGCGGGGCACGGGGGGCATTGGGGGGCACCAGCCGGGCACGTGGGGGGCAGGGATGGCCGGGGGGAGGGTGGCCCCGGACAGAAGCAGCCCGGAATCTGGCACACGACACGGGCGGGCGGTGGGTGCCCGCAGAGTGGTCCGGGAATGGCGCTCCCGGCGCCCCGTGCCGGTACCAGGGGTGCCCCGGTGCCCCCCGTGCCCTGCAGTGTCCCCCGGTGGGCGGTGCTGGGGGTCCCGGGGGTCGCGGGTGGGTGGCACCCTGGGGACACCGGTGTGGCCCCCCCGCGGCAGTTCCTGTGCCCTGGTGGGCAATGCCTGAGGGTCCCGGTGCCCAGGAGTGGGTCCCGGTGCCCAGGTGGGGGCTCAGGGGGTCCTGGTGGGGGCCCAGGTGCTGGCACAGCCCCAGCACAGCAGCCCCGTCCCACCGCTGGGCAATGCCAGGGGTCCCGGGGGTCCCTGAGGGTCCCGGGCACTCCCAGGCGCTCCCGTAGGTCCCGGGCTGTCCCGGGGTGTCCCGGGCGCTCCCGGGCGGTCTCGGTGGGTCCCGAGGGTCCCTGGGTGTCCCGAACGCTCCCGGTCACTCCCGTGGGTTCCGGGCTATCCCGGGTGGTCTCGGTCGCTCCCGTGGGTCCCGGGCTGTCCCGGGGCGTTCCTGGGCGTCCCGGCGGTCCCGAGGGCTCCCGTGGGTCCCGGGCTGTCCCGGGGGGTCCCTGGGGGTCCAGGTGGTCTCGGTCGCTCCCGTGGGTCCCGGGCGGTCCCATGGGTACCGGACAGACCCTGGGGGTCCCAGGGGCTCCCGTGTGTCCCGGGCTGTCCCTGGGGGTCCCGGGCTATCCCGGCGGTCGCGGTGCCCCCCCAGCGCGGCGCTGTGCCCGCAGGTGGGCGGCGCGGTGCGGGAGATCACCGGTTACACCACCACGTACCGGCAGCGGCTGAGCGTGCGCGGGGGCGGCGCCGGGGGCGACTGCCTGCGGACCCGGCCCGGCTTCCACCACCGCCTCGCCGGCTTCCCCGCCTGCGTCGTCACCGACGGCGTCGTCAACTTCTTCCTGGCCCGCACCGACAAGGTGCGCCAGGTGGGCTTCGACCCCCGCCTGCGCCGCGTGGCGCACCTCGGTGAGGAACGGNNNNAGAGGGGTCTGAGGGGTCCCGAGGTGTCTGGGGGGGTTTGGGGGCTCAGTCTAAGGCGGTGTCCGAGGGGTCTGGGGGGTCCCGAAGGGTCTGGGGGGTCTGAGATAAGGGGGTGCTGGGGTCCCCCAATTCAGGGGGTCAGAGATAAGGGGATGCTGGGGTACCCCCAAATTCAGGGGTCAGAAGTAAGGGGGTGCTGGGGTCCCCCCTGTTCAGGGGGTCAGAGATAAAGGGATGCTGGGGTCCCCCCCATAATTCAGGGGTCAGAGATAAAGGGGGACGATGCTGGGGTACCCCACAATGGGGTCAGAGATAAGGGGGGTTGCCAGGGTCCCCCCCTAGTTCAGGGGGCCAGAGATAAGGGGGGAAACTGGGGTTCCCCGAATTCAGGGGGTCAGAGATAAAGGGGGTTCTGGGATTCCCCCGATTCAGGGGGCCAGAGATAAGGGGGGTGCTGGGTCCCCCCATAATGGGGTCAGAGATAAGGGGGTGCTGGGGATCCCCAATTCAGGGGGTCAGAGATAAAGGGGGATGATGTGGGGTCCCCCACAAAGGGGTTAGGGGGTCAGAGACAAGGGGGGACACTGGAATCCCCCCCGTGGGCCCACGGGATCAGAGCCAGCATGAGCCACCCCAGGGCATCTCTGAGCCTCTTTTGGGGTTCCCCTGTGCCCCCCCAGAGTTCTTCATCGACGGGCTGGGCGTGCTGCACGTGGGCTCGTGCGAGGACGTGGTCGTGGACCACGCGTCCAAGCTGGCGCTGCCGTGGCGGCGCTCGGAGGGCGAGCGCCAGTACAACCGGTACCGGTACCCGGCGGCCCGCGACGACAGCGTGCGCCTCAAGCAGCGCCTCTTCTTCTTCAAGAACCGCTTCAAGTGCATGGCCGGCGACTAGGCGACACCGGGAGTGGCCACCGGGCGTGGCCACCAGCCCCCGGCAGCGCTGGGGAGCCGCGGGGCTGCGCTGATGGCACCCCCGGGGGGCTGGCGCGGAGGTGGCACCGGGACACGCCGTGGGCAGCGCTCGCACGGGCCGCCTCAAGGGTCACTGCTGCCAGCCACCCCTGCGGTGTCCCCAGAGCCACCGGCCGTATCTGGGCCACCCCCGGGGTCACCAACCCTCCTGCGGGTCACCCCCAGGGCCGCCGTTCCTGGGGCACCCCTGGCGTGGCTGTCCCTGGTGGGTCACCCCATGGGCCACCATTCCAGGGCTACCAACCCCGGGACACCCCTGGCGTGGCTGTCCCTGGTGGGTCACCCCACGGGCCACCACCGCCGGCTGTCCCCGGGGCCACGGCCACTGGCGTGACACAGTGCCACCCCCCAGGTGGCCACTCCAGGGCCACTGCCACTATGGTCCCCCTCCCTTGGGCCACCCCGTGTGCCACCACCACTGGACACCTGTGGGACACCCCCAGAACCCCCCCCAGGGCCACCCCATGGGCCACCACTGAGGGCCACCCCAGGGCCACTGCCATGGGCCACCACCCAGTGCCACCACCCAGGGCCAGCCGGGCCCGCGGGGTCCCCGGAGCCCCCCGCCCCCCCGCGGTGTTTTTAGCTCTTTTGTACTTTGGGGGGGGGGTGGTGGCGGGGTCCCCCCGGGCACAGGGTCCCCCCCTGATGTCCCCACTCCGTTTTCTATCGCCCGGCCCCTCCCCCCGCTGCCGCCAGGATTTTTGTGCCAAGTCTCGGCCCCTCCCCGGGCTTTGGGATGGGAGGGGCTGTGGGGTGGGAGGGGCTGTGGGGTGGGAGGGGCTATGTGTGGGAGGGGCTATAGGTCTTACGGGGGTGATGGGGCGTGGTAGGGGGCGTGGTCAGAGGGCGTGGTCAATGGGCGTGGTTAGTGGGTGTGGCTGTTCTTGGGCGTGGCCTTGGGGGATTTTCAACAGGAATGCCCCTGGACCCCCCTCCCCCACCCAGCACCCTCCAGGGTCCATCCTGCCCCGGCAGGACACGGCAGGGACAGAGACAGGGACAGGGACAGGGACAGACCAGGGAGAAGGACATGCCAGGGACAGGGACAGGGACACACCAGGGACAGGGACATGCCAGGGACAGGGACACACCAGGGACAGGGACATGCCAGGGCCAGGGCCAGGGCCAGGGCCAGGGACAGGGACGTGGGGATTGGTGGCACACAGGACAGGACACGGGAAGGGACACGCCATGGTCACGGACATGCCAGGGACAGAGCAGGACAGTGGGACACAGAGGGGACAAGGAGAGACCACTGACAGGGACATGGCATGGTGCACAGGGACACAGCAGGGACAAGGACAGGGACGTGACAGGGACAGACACTCCAGGAATGTGGAGACAGACACGGGGTGGGCAGGGACAGAGCACGGACAGGGACAGAGACAAGGACACTCCAGGGACAGGGACAGAGCAGGGACAGGGACAAGGACAAGGACATGCCAGGGACAGAGCAAGGACAGGGACAGGGACACATCAGGGACAGGGACAAGGACATGCCAGGGACACATCAGGGACAGGGACAGGGACACATTAGGGACAGGGACACTCCAGGAACAAGGACAGGGCAGGGACAGGGACATGCCAGGGACACTCCAGGGACAAGGACAAGCACATGCCAGGAACACATCAGGGACAGGGACACTCCAGGACGCAGGCATGGGCACACTGGGGACAGGGACATGGCAGGAACAGGGACAGGCAGGGACTGGGACCCACAGTGGGCACATGAAGGACAAGGACACACAATGGACATGAGGCTGGACACACGGGGACAAGGACACCAGGGACAAGGACACAGCCCCTGAGGGACCAAGGCCACGGCAGGGCTGGTGTTGGGGTCCCTTCTTGGGAGGACAATAGCCACGCTGGGGGACAAACGGGAGCAGGGTCCCACCCCAGGTCCCCAGAGCCCCTGTCCCACCCCTGGTGGCGCCTGCCAGCGCAGTGACAAAGTGCCCAGGGTGCCCACCCCGGGGGACCCCACACAGCAACCCCCCAGGGTCCTGTGACACCCTCGAGTGACACCTGGGCCACCCTGCAGCCGCTCCTGAGTGACACCACGGGGCTGCCAAGGTGATGTCACTGTCCCCCCTCCCAAACCTGTCCCTGGGGGCTCCTGGGACATCACCCCGTGTCCCCCTCACTGTGTCCCATCCAGGCCATTGTAATGTCCCCATTCTATGTCCTATCCTGCCTTTGTCCCACTCCGGTGTCCCAGTCCCAGTGACCCATCCTGGGGTCCCATCCCATTGTCCCAGTGACCATCCTGGTGCTGACCACCCCAGTGTCTCTATTCTGGTGTCCCATCCCAGTGTCCCAACCCCAGTGACCCATCCTGGGGTGCCATTGCAATGTCCCAACCCCAGTGTCCCAACCCCAGTGACCATCCTGGTGTTCAGCATCCCTGATATCCCATCCCAACGTCCCAATCCCAGTGTCTCATCCAATGTCCCAGCCCCAGTGTCCCATCCCAGTGTCCCAACCCCAGTGACCCATTGCAATGTCCCCAGCTGGTGACCCAGCCTGGCACCCCATGGGAATGTTGCACCCCAGTGTCTCGGTTCACTGTCCAAACCTGATGTCCCAAATCTGTCCCATCCCAATGTCCCAGTGAACCATCCTGGTGTCCCATCCCAATGTCCCAACCCCAGTGACCACCCTGGTGGTCCATCCTTGGTGTCCCATCCCAATGTCCCCATCCCTGTGTCCCATCTGGATGTCCCCCTGAGCTGGGCTGAGCCCCAGTGTGGGCAGAGGGAGGGGGCTCTGCCCCTGTGCCCCTGTGCCCAAGTGAGACACCAGGGGTGACCCCATGGAGAAGGACTCGAGGGCATTGGACACATCCTGGCCACAATGTCCCATCCCCAGTGTCCCAATCCCAGTGACCATCCTGGTGCTCACCATCCCTGGCGTCCCATCCCACTGTCCCAGTGACCATCCTGGTGCCGACCACCCCAGTGTCTCTATCCCAATGTCCCATCCTGGTGTCCCAACCCCAGTGAGCCATTGCAATGTCCCCCGCTGGTGACCCAGCCCGGCACCCCAAGGGAATGCTGCACCCCGCTGCAGGGAGAGCTCAGAGCCCGTGCAGGGCCTGGAGGGGCTCCAGGAGAGCTGCAGAGGGACTGGGGACAAGGGACAGGGGGACAGGACACAGGGAATGGCTGCCACTGCAGGGGGCAGGGATGGATGGGAGATTGGGCAGGAATTCCTCCCTGGGAGGGTGGGCAGGCCCTGGGATGGATTTCCCAGAGCTGCCCCTGGATCCCTGGCAGTGCCCAGGCCAGGCTGGAGCAGCCTGGAGCAGCATGGCAGGCATCCCTGCCACGGCAGGGGTTTGGGGTGGGATGAGCTTTGAGATCCCTCACCCCAGAGCATTCCCTGACTCCAGGATGTCCAGGCCCGGGGTTGGGCTGGGGAGATGGATTCCAGGACTGGACTGAGGTGGGTGCAGAACTGGCTGCACAGTCACAGAGAGAGCTGGAAGGACCCAGGTGCCCCCTGAGCTGGGCTGAGCCCCAGAGTGGGCAGAGGGAGGGGGCTCTGCCCCTGTGCCCAGGTGAGACCCCACCTGCAGAGCTGCCCCAGCCCGGGGGTCCCGCACAGGGAGGATGAGGAGCTGCTGGAGAGAGCCCAGAGGAGGCCACGGAGCTGCTCAGGGCTGGAGCCCCTCTGGAGCCAGGCTGGGAGAGCTGGGGGTGCTCACCCCACTGCAGGGAGAGCTCAGAGCCCGTGCAGGGCCTGGAGGGGCTCCAGGAGAGCTGCAGAGGGACTGGGGACAAGGGACAGGGGGACAGGACACAGGGAATGGCTCCCACTGCAGGGGGCAGGGATGGATGGGAGATTGGGCAGGAATTCCTCCCTGGGAGGGTGGGCAGGCCCTGGGATGGATTTCCCAGAGCTGCCCCTGGATCCCTGGCAGTGCCCAGGCCAGGCTGGACAGGGCTGGAGCAGCCTGGGGCAGTGGGAGGTGTCCCTGCCATGGCAGGGGTGGCACTGGACGATCTCTGAGCTCCTTTCCACCCCAAACCGTTCCGCGAGTCCACGATCGCCCTCAGCCCTCCATGCTCCGCACTTCCGGACTCCATTTCCCATCACACCCCGCGCCAGCACGGCCCCGTGTCCCCAGGGGACTCGGTTTCCCATGGTGCCTGGCGGCGGCGCGGTGGCGGCGCGGGGATCACGTGACGCGGGGCGGTATAAAGGCGGCGGCGCAGCGGCCGCGGCCCCATTGTTGTCGGCGCGCGCGGCGGGGCGGGAGCGGCCCCGGACCCCCCCGGGAGCGGCCCCGGGGCCCCCCAGCGCCCCCCGCCCCCAG